TCAAGAGACTTCAAAGTTGCCGGGGGTGTTCCAGGGTGTTAATTATGATCTCACACCAAATTTCAGAATAATCGGTCAAAAACTTTTGATTTAACACAACTTTTACTTATCCATGATTCGGACGACACAGCTCAACTGGCGGCCATGATGTTTACTGTTAAGACTCTAATATGACTTGCTGAACACCAAGCAAGCTTCTTACATCACTGACCATAAATAATAATAATAATAATAACAATTTTCGTGATTTTGTTAAGCAGCCGTTCTTTACGGCAATACTATATACCGGAAAATACCGGAAAAGAACCGGAAAACAACGGAAAACTATCGGAAAACATCATGTTATACTGAATACCGGAAAACCACTAAATACCGGGGAAAACACACTAAATACCGGAAAACACCCTAAATAGGTAACAAAGAACCTGGTCCTCTGTTTGCGGAGAGTTAGGGTTATTGTTAGGGCTATGTTTAAGAATTTGGGGGAGAGGTTAATTCTCCACATAAGCACTGACCTAGGATGGCGAAAAGTTAGTTCGCGATATTTCCTAGTTTTATTAAAAATACATACAATATATAAGATTAATTTTCAAAAGTGATTTAACTGTTTTTGGTGTTGTTTCGCTGATGGTCTTCCTTGGATGGTGCTTCTGGTATTCTGGTATTTTTATTTCTGAAGAAAAAAGAAAATAAATTTGAGGCTCTCGGGGGAGAGCCACATTAGTGTGTTTCCTACTACGAATTGGATTTTCTAAAAAAAATCGTGTTTGTTTCACATCACCGGGTTAGGGCTAGGGATTCCTATATCTAGTTGATTTTATTTACTAACGGTTAGGGATAGGATTTGATATATGGTTTGTTTTGGGTTAGGGTGGAGACTGGTCTTATTTAATCTAATTTACTGTGCACTAGGATGTCGTTCAGATTTTTATTGTTAGAATATGCAATTACAAGTTTCTGTGTGAATATTTTCGGGTGATTTTCTTGGAAAACAGTACAGTATTTTCTGATGATTTTGGATGCACTTGCAAAAGGGCTATTGCGCTAGCGGTATGAATATTCAAACCTAGGGGGGCTGTTGTTTTCAATTTGTCAATCCAGAATTGTTCTCTTATTAGCCTAAACGTTTTAATTTCTTCTGTAGTTTCAAAGTCGATCTTGGTCTTTTCTATTGGCGTGACAGAAATGTCATGATTTGGTTGGTTGAAATGAATTAAGACCGGTTTCTCTTTTTTGGTGACTATGTCTGATCGCTAACCGTTAATTCTTTCCCTAAATGCATTTTGAGTCTCCCCTACGTATTGCTTGTCACATTGTCTGCATGAAATTAGATAAATTATGTCTGAACTATTGCATGAAAGTTGGTCTAATATTGGGGATTGTGTGCCAGATGTTTTGTTATGGAAATGGTCGGATATGTTTAAGATTTTGCATTTTTGACATCTTGGATGACCACAAGTTTTGGTTTTAACTGCTGCATATTATTTGTTTCTTTGGCGGCAAGCTCAGCTAGAGTGTTGTTTTTTTTATACGTCGTTGATAGCGTTTGGAGTATCCCCTTTCTCTTAGTTTGCTAAATACCAGCGTACATGCTGACTCAAAGTCGGTCTTCTGAGTACATATCCTATGAAAACGGAGAATCTGAGATTTTATGATGCCAGAGAAGGTATGTTTGGGGTGAAAGGAGCTCCTGAACAGTAGTTGATGTGTATCGGTTTCGTTGAAAAATACTTTGTTGGCCAGTGTATTTGGTGTTACTACTTTTAAAGATGGTGGTGTCAAGAAAATCTATGCTGTTATGACTTACATTTGCGGTTAATTTGACAGATGAATAATGATTGTTCAAAATGTTGAAAAACGTCCAAAATTCGTCTAGTGTGTACGTCCAGACTATGAAAACCTCCTCTAGAAAGCGTCCATAGAAATCTGGTTTTAATGGCCACTCCGCCATGAAGAGGTTTGCATAACTCGGGGCAAATTGTTTTCCCATCGCAGCTCTCCTAGACTTGAGGTATACTTGGTCGTTGAAAGCGAAGTCATTCCTCCTCAGACAAATGTTGTGTACTTTGAGGATGTCTTCGTCCGGCCTGAATGCTTGCGGGTTCCTAAGAAATGCTTTCCTAACTGCTCCAATACCTGTGTTATTATCAATGTTCGTGTATATGCTCTGTACGTCGATGGATATTATAATGGTGTGTTCGGAGACTCTTATCTGTTTGATTTTGCGAATGAAATCGTTGGTAGGATGGGTGTTGGCATGCTACGGGTAATAATAAATGGTCTATATATTGTGATACGTTGAATGATTCGCTGCCACAGTCTGATATTATTGTGCGCCCCTTGAGTAATTTATTAGGTATAAACCATTCTGTTTCTGGATTTTTATGTATTTATGGTAGTGTATAGAGATGTCTTTGTCGGCAATCAGATTTAGCAGATAGATAATCATATTGTTTTGCTGTTATGTATTCCTTATCCTGCAATTCATGTAAGATGTTGTTTATTAAAGTTGCGGTGTCCTTAACGATGGGTTGGTCTAATTTAGTGTAATGTATATGATTGCTTAATTGTTTTTCTGCCTCTGAGATATAGTCTGCGCGATTCATTATGACACAACACGAGCCTTTGTCGCTTTTCTTAATTATTATGTTTTTGTCTTTTTTAAGGGTGTTTAATGCTGTTTTAATTGCTCGGTTGAGATTTAGTTTTTGTGATTGTGGATGAAGGGATGATATTTCTATATTCATTTCGTTGAAAGTTTTTAGGATGGCTGGTGATAATGACTTTTTAGGTGTTTTCCATGTGGATTTTGCTGTGAATAATTTTTTACATCTGCCGGGTTTGTTCCTAAAAAAATAAGTCAACGAAAGTGTTCTTTGGAAGCGATCGGTTGCCTTGCTGATGGGGTCTATGGATGTTATTGTGGGGGTTGGGGTGAATTTAAGGCCTGTATCAAGAATGTTCATTTCTAGGGGGCTGAGAAGTCTGTCGCTCAAATTGATAACTTTCTGTCCTAAAGACGGCTTCTCATTCCTTTTCTACGGTGGCTGATAAGGGACATGAAAAATGGTCCGAATATTGTCTTGGAAGTGATTGCAAATGGCTTGGGCAGTGTGGCCAGCGTCGAGTCTTCCAAGTCCCTGGTTCCTCTGAGCTGTCGTGGGTCGTTGCATGCTGCCGACGTTGTAGTGTGAATGATTCAACAAGGTATGTGGGTGCATTTTATAGGGCTGGTCCCGGTGAACAGCACGTGCAGCATGAGTTACCTGAAAATCATGGAGAACACATTACCATCTCAGAAATCAGGTTGCGTTTTTGAGAACATTTCCCGGGTTCAATTCTGTGTTTGGGAAGGAGCCTTATTGTTCAGATAAAGTTGGAGATGTGGTCACAAATATACAATAAAAACATTTGGCAAGTTTTATGCAATGCCAGAGTTATTCAGAGTAACATACCAACTTGACGTTTCTTTTGCTGCTTAGTATATGACAGCTGGCAACGGTCTTGGGATCTTACAGACACAAATCAATTTCATCACATCAAGCCTCTCCTTGGAGACTGGCCTAGCTCCTACAGGTCTAATAGGAGAGATGGGGTTGTTTTGTGTCGCTCTGGTATTGGTCATACTTTTTTTAAACTCACATGTTCATATTAAAGCGAGGGCCCAATCAGTTTGTGAACACTGTCATGTTCCTTAACAGTGAAGCACATTTTGATTGACTGCAAGCATCTCAAGGATGTTAGATCGCATTTTTACCGTTGTCAGTCATTACATAACGTTTGCCCAACCGGGTTTATATCATTAAGTATTAGAGACAGATATTTTATTTTAAGTTTTAATTGTATTTATCATTTTCATGTATCTATTTTAATATTTGTATGCTTAAAAGTTTATGATATTTATTTTTAAACTTAAGAACTGTGATATTTGTTTTTCTATTGAGTATATAAATAGTATTGTAATATCTTCTATTTTACCATATGTTTGGCGCAATATAGCTCGGTTGGAACTGACGTGCCATAAAACAACATTTCATTCATTCATTCACGCCCTGCTAGGTGGGTTAAATATGGACCATTTTAACGATGCCATAACCATGCGTTAAATTTAACGACACGATGAACATAACAGACTTCTTCTGTCGTTAAATATAACGATGTCGTTAAATGATTTAACCACATCGATAAATTTAACGACAAGTTGAACAACCGGGCCCAGGTGGACACCGGGAGGACAGCCGGGTCGACGACAACGGCGTATAAAAAAGTGGAGAGAGAGAGAGAGAGAGATGGGGTTTAACGTCCACTCGGCACAAACTAGGTCATTTCGGGACTAACATATGGTTTAATTTTATTTCAATAATTCGCTTGCGCATAGGGGTCTATAGCAGTGGGAGGAAACCGGAGGACCTGGAGAAAACCCACGAGGTTAGACAGGCGAAAAAAGTGTCGAAAACATGAAAACGGCAAATAGGCTTATACATTTATCCGTATACCAATCCAAATTTCTTAAAATTGTATTTCAAAAACCTGACATTGGAATGATCTGATTTGTATGCATCGTAAATAAACTGGCTATATTCAGGTTATTGACCCCTTCCCCAATCTGCTAAGTGAAAAACAATATATGACGTGCAAAATAATGTATTGATACCTGTTGTATGCGAATTGGTAAAACGATTTCGGGTAATAAAGAAACCTGTGATAAACTTGCGTCTCTCGTATCCGTCCATTTTCATTCACTTGTTTAACTTCTTACACATAGAATCCGGTTCGTAAGTCAGCTATCGACCCTGACCTCGGGGTTAAGTTAAATAAACACCCGCGCTCGTGTATTGAACACCTCGAGTGCGCAACTTTGTACGAGCTCGGGTTTTCATCTAATTTGAACCCCTCTGTCTCGGTTGATAACCCTAACGGACCAATTAACACATGGGCTATTATTGACATGCTGAATAATCTTAACATAATGCAGCAAACAAAGGATATGAGAAGGAGAGACAAAATATACGGGAAAGAACGTAATACAGTTACTAAACAACCAGATGGAGTTAAAGCAAGTGGGGTATTCGCTGATGTTATGAAGAAAGAGGGATTCAGGAAATTATTATCGTCTAGAGGTATTTATTTCTCTTTTAAAGATCATTATTCCTCGGAAGGTATTTCTTTCGTATATCCCAAACCAAAGCCGCGTAGGCGCTAATGCACTTTCGTACACCTAGTACTTGCCGTGGTTCTAGAGATTTCAAAGTTACCGGGGGTGTTCCAGAGTGTTAATTAAGATCTCACACCAAATTTCAGAATAATCGGTCAAAAACTTTTGATTTTACACAACTTTTACTTATCCATGATTCGGACGACACAGCTCAAATGGCGGCCATGATGTTTACTGTTAAGACTCTAATATGACTTGCTGAACACCAAGCAAGCTTCTTACATCACTGACCATAAATAATAATAATAATAACAATTTTCGTGATTTTGTTAAGCAGCCGTTCTTTACGGCAATACTATATACCAGAAAACACCTGAAAACACCGGAAAAGAACCGGAAAACTACCGGAAAACAACGGAAAACTATCGGAAAACACCATGTTATACTGAATACCGGAAAACCACTAAATACCGGAAAACACACTAAATACCGGAAAACACCCTAAATAGGTAACAAAGAACCTGGTCCTCTGTTTGCGGAGAGTTAGGGTTATTGTTAGGGCTAGGTTTAAGAATTTGGGGGAGAGGTTAAGTCTCCACATAAGCACTGACCTAGGATGATGAAAAGGTAGTTCGCGATATTTCCTAGTTTTATTAAAAATACATACAATATATTAGATTAATTTTCAAAAGTGATTTCACTGTTTTTGGTGTTGTTTCGCTGATGGTCTTCCTTGGATGGTTATTCTGGTATTTTTATTTCTGAAGAAAAAGGAAAATAAATTTGAGGCTCTCGGGGGAGAGCCACATTAGTGTGTTTCCTACTACGAATTGGATTTTCTAAAAAAAATCGTGTTTGTTTCACATCACCGGGTTAGGGCTAGGGATTCTTATATCTAGTTGATTTTATTTACTAACGGTTAGGGATAGGATTTGATATATGGTTTGTTTTGGGTTAGGGTGGAGACTGGTCTTATTTAATCTAATTTACTGTGCACTAGAATGTCGTTCAGATTTTTATTGTTAGAATATGCAATTACAAGTTTCTGTGTGAATATTTTCGGGTGATCCAAAATCATCAGAAAATACTATACTGTTTTCCAAGAAAATCACCCGAAAATATTCACACAGAAACTTGTAATTGCATATTCTAACAATAAAAATCTGAACGACATCCTAGTGCACAGTAAATTAGATTAAATAAGACCAGTCTCCGGTTCTTTTCCGGTGTTTTCAGGTGTTTTCTGGTATATAGTATTGCCGTAAAGAACGGCTGCTTAACAAAATCACGAAAATTGTTATTATTATTATTATTTATGGTCAGTGATGTAAGAAGCTTGCTTGGTGTTCAGCAAGTCATATTAGAGTCTTAACAGTAAACATCATGGCCGCCATTTGAGCTGTGTCGTCCGAATCATGGATAAGTAAAAGTTGTGTAAAATCAAAAGTTTTTGACCGATTATTCTGAAATTTGGTGTGAGATCCTAATTAACACTCTGGAACAACCCCGGCAACTTTGAAATCTCTAGAACCACGGCAAGTACTAGGTGTACGAAAGTGCATTAGCGCCTACGCGGCTTTGGTTTGGGATATACGAAAGAAATACCTTCCGAGGAATAATGATCTTTAAAAGAGAAATAAATACCTCTAGACGATAATAATTTCCTGAATCCCTCTTTCTTCATAACATCAGCGAATACCCCACTTGCTTTAACTCCATCTGGTTGTTTAGTAACTGTATTACGTTCTTTCCCGTATATTTTGTCTCTCCTTCTCATATCCTTTGTTTGCTGCATTATGTTAAGATTATTCAGCATGTCAATAATAGCCCATGTGTTAATTGGTCCGTTAGGGTTATCAACCGAGACAGAGGGGTTCAAATTAGATGAAAACCCGAGCTCGTACAAAGTTGCGCACTCGAGGTGTTCAATACACGAGCGCGGGTGTTTATTTAACTTAACCCCGAGGTCAGGGTCGATAGCTGACTTACGAACCGGATTCTATGTGTAAGAAGTTAAACAAGTGAATGAAAATGGACGGATACGAGAGACGCAAGTTTATCACAGGTTTCTTTATTACCCGAAATCGTTTTACCAATTCGCATACAACAGGTATCAATACATTATTTTGCACGTCATATATTGTTTTTCACTTAGCAGATTGGGGAAGGGGTCAATAACCTGAATATAGCCAGTTTATTTACGATGCATACAAATCAGATCATTCCAATGTCAGGTTTTTGAAATACAATTTTAAGAAATTTTGATTGGTATACGGATAAATGTATAAGCCTATTTGCCGTTTTCATGTTTTCGACACTTTTTTCGCCTGTCTAACCTCGTGGGTTTTCTCCAGGTCCTCCGGTTTCCTCCCACTGCTATAGACCCCTATGCGCAAGCGAATTATTGAAATAAAATTAAACCATATGTTAGTCCCGAAATGACCTAGTTTGTGCCGAGTGGACGTTAAACCCCATCTCTCTCTCTCTCTCTCTCTCCACTTTTTTATACGCCGTTGTCGTCGACCCGGCTGTCCTCCCGGTGTCCACCTGGGCCCGGTTGTTCAACTTGTCGTTAAATTTATCGATGTGGTTAAATCATTTAACGACATCGTTATATTTAACGACAGAAGAAGTCTGTTATGTTCATCGTGTCGTTAAATTTAACGCATGGTTATGGCATCGTTAAAATGGTCCATATTTAACCCACCTAGCAGGGCGTGAATGAATGAATGAAATGTTGTTTTATGGCACGTCAGTTCCAACCGAGCTATATTGCGCCAAACATATGGTAAAATAGAAGATATTACAATACTATTTATATACTCAATAGAAAAACAAATATCACAGTTCTTAAGTTTAAAAATAAATATCATAAACTTTTAAGCATAAAAATATTAAAATAGATACATGAAAATGATAAATACAATTAAAACTTAAAATAAAATATCTGTCTCTAATACTTAATGATATAAACCCGGTTGGGCAAACGTTATGTAATGACTGACAACGGTAAAAATGCGATCTAACATCCTTGAGATGCTTGCAGTCAATCAAAATGTGCTTCACTGTTAAGGAACATGACAGTGTTCACAAACTGATTGGGCCCTCGCTTTAATATGAACATGTGAGTTTAAAAAAAGTATGACCAATACCAGAGCGACACAAAACAACCCCATCTCTCCTATTAGACCTGTAGGAGCTAGGCCAGTCTCCAAGGAGAGGCTTGATGTGATGAAATTGATTTGTGTCTGTAAGATCCCAAGACCGTTGCCAGCTGTCATATACTAGGCAGCAAAAGAAACGTCAAGTTGGTATGTTACTCTGAATAACTCTGGCATTGCATAAAACTTGCCAAATGTTTTTATTGTATATTTGTGACCACATCTCCAACTTTATCTGAACAATAAGGCTCCTTCCCAAACACAGAATTGAACCCGGGAAATGTTCTCAAAAACGCAACCTGATTTCTGAGATGGTAATGTGTTCTCCATGATTTTCAGGTAACTCATGCTGCACGTGCTGTTCACCGGGACCAGCCCTATAAAATGCACCCACATACCTTGTTGAATCATTCACACTACAACGTCGGCAGCATGCAACGACCCACGACAGCTCAGAGGAACCAGGGACTTGGAAGACTCGACGCTGGCCACACTGCCCAAGCCGTTTGCAATCACTTCCAAGACAATATTCGGACCATTTTTCATGTCCCTTATCAGCCACCGTAGAAAAGGAATGAGAAGCCGTCTTTAGGACAGAAAGTTGTCAATTTGAGCGACAGACTTCTCAGCCCCCTAGAAATGAACATTCTTGATACAGGCCTTAAATTCACCCCAACCCCCACAATAACATCCATAGACCCCATCAGCAAGACAACCGATCGCTTCCAAAGAACATTTTCGTTGACTTATTTTTTTAGGAACAAACCCGGCAGAGGTAAAAAATTATTCACAGCAAAATCCACATGGAAAACACCTAAAAAGTCATTATCACCAGCCATCCTAAAAACTTTCAACGAAATGAATATAGAAATATCATCCCTTCAACCACAATCACAAAAACTAAATCTCAACCGAGCAACTAAAACAGCATTAAACACCCTTAAAAAAGACAAAAACATAATAATTAAGAAAAGCGACAAAGGCTCGTGTTGTGTCATAATGAATCGCGCAGACTATATCTCAGAGGCAGAAAAACAATTAAGCAATCCTATACATTACACTAAATTAGACCAACCCATCGTTAAGGACACCGCAACTTTAATAAACAACATCTTACATGAATTGCAGGATAAGGAATACATAACAGCAAAACAATATGATTATCTATCTGCTAAATCTGATTGCCGACAAAGACATCTCTATACACTACCATAAATACATAAAAATCCAGAAACAGAATGGTTTATACCTAATAAATTACCCAAGGGGCGCACAATAATATCAGACTGTGGCAGCGAATCATTCAACGTATCACAATATATAGACCATTTATTATTACCCGTAGCATGCCAACACCCATCCTACCAACGCTTTCATTCGCAAAATCAAACAGTTAAGAGTCTCCGAACACACCATTTTAATATCCATCGACGTACAGAGCTTGTACACGAACATTGATAATAACACAGGTATTGAAGCAGTTAGGAAAGCATTTCTTAGGAACCCGCAAGCATTCAGGCCGGACGAAGAAATCCTCAAACTACACGACATTTGTCTGAGGAGGAATGACTTCGCTTTCAACGACCAAGTATACCTCAATTCTAGGAGAGCTGCGATGGGAAAACAATTTGCCCCGAGTTATGCAAACCTCTTCATGTCGGAGTGGCCATTAAAACTAGATTTCTATGGACGCTTTCTAGAGCCACGAAAGATGCCCCAGCCCTTTAATTTTCGGATAGTACGGCGATCTATAATTGCCAGAAAAAAGACAAGTTTGCGGATTCAAGAACAAGTACCATGACTG